AGAGTTTCTCCTTTGAAAAATCTTGCCAAAATGCTCTTCCAGGGGGGTATTTATAGCCAAAACTTTTGCCTTAAATAGACTATTATGCCCTTAAAAGTTAGTAGAAATTGTAAGGGCAAACTTGGAACTTCAAGTGCACTTTTACATCATCAATACATCATCTTCTTACATCATCCCTTACATCATCCTTCTAGAAGAGAGCTAGGTGGTACAAATCTAATGAAGGGAAATGGAAGAATAGATCTTGGCCCTTAGATCAAACTTAATCTCCAAGTTTCTTTATAATTTACCAGGTTCACATTTATTTGACTTTCTTAATGGCCTTCTGGAACTCAGAAAATTCTTTTGTCTACTCCATAAATTTTATTTAGTTCTAGAGAAGATCTATGAATTTTCTCAGGCCATACCACTTCCTTTAAACCTCACATAAAAATCATTTACTAAAATGCCCTTAACCAGCACAATTGACCCTTCTATTTTATTCCAACCATTCTGCTAATCTTCTGGAAGGGAGACTAATTTTATAAATTATCATATCTTTAAGCTTCCTAACCTCATTTTTATGTATATTTTTTAGATCTCTTACTATCTCAAATAATTACCTTAATCGGTATACTTTTTACCAGGTCATAATATTATAAATTTCATTTAGGTTGTCTCAGGGGTATTTTTGTCATTTCTCTTCACAAAAGTGTCTTAGAATATTGTTTTCTGTTTTTTAGGATTTTTCTAGAATTTTCTGTATACTTTCTATTTTTACCCCTATTGATTGTAACTTTCTAAAATTACGATTTAGTCCCTGTTTAGACTTAACCTCATAAAACATGTCTTTAAGGTATCTAACTTAACTTTTGACTTCTATCTAGCCTCTTTTCTCTTTTTGAGCCCTTGAGACTCTCTTGGAATCTCAATATTACTTACACATTTGCCACCTAACAACTTTCTTACTTTGCAGTTTAGTCCCTAAAACTACTTTGACTTCATTTCCTATTTTTGGGACTTTTGATCTGCGGGGCTTAGTAGCCTATCTATTTTGGGCTACTCCTAGGGCTCCTAGGCCTAAAAATTAGGATGTGACATTGAGTCAGCATACGAGTTAGCACACTGAGTTAGCAAATGAATCGTGATCCCATTAATGAGCCTACGAGTCATCATGCCGAGTCACTAGGGGATATTTATGGATAGTAGAAAAATCAAAATGCAGTCCAGGTATGTTTTAAACAGTCCTCTATCTACACAATATAGTCAAATCTTTATTGTGTGACTCAATAAGGCTAATTAGCATGTCAGTGGAGATAACTATTTTTTTCTATGATCCTCTAAGATGGCGCTATATGTGTACTTATTTGAGATGAAAAATGGGTGCCAGAACATGTTCCAATAGTCCCAGGTAAGTTAGGACCCGAAAAAGCACCCAATATAGTACAGAATGCCAAGATAGGAGGAGGAATACCTAGGGTTGCAGTTTGCACGAAATTCCTATTAATTTCCTCATATTTTAATGCTAAAATCATGAAGGGACATGTAAGGGATTATGTGTATAGTTAGATGGGAGGAGAAGGTATTACGTGTGTAACATCCCAAATTTTGGCTCATAGATACAAGTAATAGCACAAGGAAATGATGATTACTAAGCCCAATACAATAAAAGTCCCAGAGATCCCTCGGAAGGAAAAAGAGATTTTTCAAGGGCAAATGTGTAAAACAATAGCTTTTGGACACTAAAGAATGATGAACTGGAAACAACTAAGGGCCAGAGGTTATGCTAGAAACTTGCAAGAAATGGTTCCGAAGGTTAGGCCTAAGGAGGGACCAAACTGCAAATAAAAGATTCCTAGGCCAAGTAGTGTCGCACCTTACTATCGGATCCACTTAGGGTTTAATTAAAACCATTTTAGACCACATTGGATGGTCTTGGGCTCAAAAATTTATGAAAAACGATGATTTTTAGATTTTTATTGTTCACCGGGTAAAAATCCAGTTTTCTGGCCCAACTTCAAAAATTCATAACTTAATATAGAAACATCAAAGTTAAGTGGTTCAAAATTCTATAAAAAAAATCTTTGAATTCTTTTTCAAGAAAAAATAATCTTATGAACTAATTCCATTTGAAAAAGTGTCAGCTTTTTGTGAAATTCACCTCTGTCTATTTGGCAAAAATCATTTTTTCAAATTCTAAACCTTAACTTTGAAAAATCATTATAAATCGTGTAGTTGGCCATTTTTAACAGGCTGCCTATCAATTTGAAGCTCAAGATGTCAAATTTAAGCATACTAAATTTCGTACAGAAATTAGTTCGCTAACTTAATAAAACTTCGCTCTAAACTAACGTCCTGCTTAGAGACTACAGCACCAACCATTGATACTTATACATAACCAAATGTCCACGAATTTTTATGGTGTGATACCATAATTTAGCCTCAAATCTGCAGCTTGCTCTTGGGAGTTTCAGGCCCTAAAATGTTAGATTATATTTGGGGGATGAGATTTTAAGAAATCCCAGTAGCAAGATCAATCAACCAAAACATTAACATGCATCAATTACAAGCATTTCAACCTTTTGCTATTAATAGGGAACTACTTTACCTCATACATGTAGCACTCTAACATGCTATAACCAATGGCAAAAGGAGATAAGGACACTATAAAAGACATTAGTAGCAGTTTATCAATCACTGCAAAAAAAAAAAAAAAAGAAGTGGTGGAATATGATTTGTGTTTGCAACGGTTATAAAAGTAACGAGAGGTTTCCTTCGGTGGAAATGAAAATTTGAAAACTAGTAGCGGTGTACGGAACTGCTACTAATATTTGGGTGAAATGTTGATTTAGTGGACCAGTCTTGAATTTGGCGCCAACATTTATAACTGTTTTGAAACCACTACAAAAATGAAATTTAACAAAAGCTAATGCCCTTTTTGTACTTAGTAGCGGTGTAAATAACCTCTACTAGTGTTCATTACATATAGAAAAATAAAATTTTACATTCAGATTTGGCAAATCCATATAATTAGCATTTAGTTAAATACAGAATTATAGATATATACATATATGATAACCATATAGTGAAATTTTATTAAACTCTTTAGATGCAAAGAATGGAACTTTCAATGTCAAGTATGGGTATTGTGTGGCTAAAACTGAGAAAGGTCCTAACAAAAAGATCATAGTTCTTCATCTTGTGTGCCAAGGGAGCTTTGGAAAAATGTATAGAGATTGATAGTCCCTCCCAAGGCGTTAGCATTTTGTTTGGAGACCTCTTAATAGTTCTATGGCGACCAAGGAAGCTTTGTTTAGAAGAAAACGCTTTGAAAATATGGTTTGCCCTACGTGCAATGCCGAAGCTAAGACCATTGAGCATCTCTTGATTTTTGGCACATGGCTTAAGAATGTTAGTATGGATTCTTGGGTGAATTGGGTGCTATAAAAATTTGTAAATAATACAATAATTAAACTTGATTAATACATCCAGAGCAAAGAGGACAAGATGTCACCTATCGCTTGAAAGAAGAGTATGAGAAAAATACATAGAGATTTATACTAGTTCAATACAACCTAACTTACACTTAGTCCTTAGACTCCACTTGAGAGTTTTTACCATATCCCTAAGATTTAGGGTGTCACCATACAATAGCCATCTCTATACATGAGGCAACACCTACCTCATTTCCCCTTACACTATATAAGAGTAACCCTAATTAGAATCTTAGGGTTCTAAGCAATAAATGAGAATTTATAACAATAAAGTATTTTTCTCTCTCAACAGAGTAAATGTTGAACACAAAGGCTCAATAAATTTCTCAGAGAATGTTGGCAAAGAATGTTCTTGTGGTACCTTGTGAAATATTGTTTTTCTGCTTGTTCTCTACTTCTTCATTGAATGTATCTTCTATTTGTAGTCTATCTCCAATAATATCTATTAGACACAGTATTTGTTTGCATTGAGGCTTGTGTCTTAAACGAGAATATTAAATGAAACTTCCTATTGAAGCTTAAGTCTATAGTAGTTGGCTCAATCTAATGCTGTCTGACATTGTTCTTTTGCTCTTAATCTTCCTTTTGGACCTTAGATATCCTGTGAAGAATGTTATAAGATATAATCTCAAATAATTTTGACAAGACACTCTTTTTAAAATATTTAAAGAACTTTTTCAAATCCGGTAGAATGATTTTTCAATTGAGAACTCGGATAGAGTCAAAGATGACTTAAAAAATGACTTTCAATATATATTCAATATATACAAGTCAGATAATTAAAAAGGCGAGCAGTATATATTTGTACAAGAGTCCAATGCTCAACATCAGCGAAAATGTTTAAAATCTTATGAACCAATCAAACGGCTCTTCAAAACATATTTAAAGATAACAAACTGTTTTGGAAAACATTTCATCTACAAAACAAATTCTTCTCTAATTTTGTTATTATCAAAATATTGAGTCTAACAACAAAGTGTTGGTTTAAGCTCACTGGACGAGAACGAGCATCTCCCCGGGGGGGTAAGGTGGCTGGAATTGGAGGGTTATGCAGAAATGAAGGTGCTGATTTTGTGGATGGGGTCAACACAAGTGAATGCCTCATTAGGTTTTATGGCTGAATGTCTTGCAAGAGGAGAAGACTTCAAGGGGAGATTTGGATCCTTTCACAGTTCCTTTGAAACTATCGCTAGCGAGTATTTCAATGCTATGACATATTATGGAATTAATTACTATGAATGACAATGTAGTAATTTGCTGTAAGAGGAGACGATCCAACTGATGTGTGTCCCTCTGGTTGATCGCTAAGGGAATGGAGCTACTGATTTTTCAGTAGCCACGGTCTGTAAGTTAATGGTGCTCACATCCCCTTTGATTGCCATTCTGCATGACGACTCTTTAGAGCACAGGTCTTCAAGAAAGGCATAGGTTACGGAATTGTATCTTTGTTTGCTCAGCATTAGCAGCTTGTCCGTTTAATATTGTATTTGTCGTTGAGTGTTTTTGGCTTTCTTTGCTCTGTTCTCGTTGAGATTAATAAAACTGACTTGTTTTTAGCCCAAAAAAATACTTCTGTTCCAACAATCACTTCTCTCAAGTCACTATTTACACAAAGCCTCTCATAAACCACCAACGATCACCACGGAGGAGTTATAAATTTGGAGATAACTCTTAATAACAGAAAACACAAATTCACACAGATTTACAAACCTAGCGTTCGAATTGGAAAATGAAATCATCACCTGCATAGGCTTGAGAAAATTCGTTTACTCTACCATTTAGGTTGTCCTGTTCTGCACTTCAAGGGCTCCACTCCTAACATGGCTTGCCATCACAATACTGTTATTTCTGCACAGTGCTCATACTCTAACTCGGAGATGCAGCAAAGCAGTCTGTCTTATATCCTCAAAATCCGCTTTAATTTGTAAACCTGATAAATAGAAAATTTTCATACTCATACTCAGTCCTGTCAATCATATCATATTTAGAGGGTGTTTGGATTGAAACCAAACCATGGTTTCAGAAGTGATTTTACAGTCTACAAGGTAAATATGTGGAAGAGTTTATCTCGATTTGCGGAAAAGTTCTTCTGAGAAGCACTTTTCAGAGTATCCAAACACCCCCTTAATATACCAAAAGGGTTCTGTGTACGGAGACATAAGATCCCAGTGAATTTACTACTAGAGTTTCGTAAGAATTGAGTGCTTGAAAGCACATCTGTGATGCTTTTGTTCACGCCTTATCACTTGCACAGATTAAAGTCCCTTATGATTTACTTTCCACGTACAATTGCCAAGTCTTATGCTTTACATAATTTTGACAAGCTCGTGTCCAAATTTTGCATAGTTAATATGTCTCACAAATGACTCAGAATCCATAGAAATTAAGACGGTAAGGAAACCATAGGTCAGGCTTTAAGCACACAATTGGGTGTCAGTATTCAAAAACATCCCAGTTTCTGCAAACTGATGTAGGCCATTCATCTAATTCAATACGAGACTATGAGCCCAAACAACAACAAAAGACCAAAATTTGACCAAAAAAGATATAAAAATACAAAATCAAAAGATGCGTAATACATCAAAGTATGCATTAAATGAGGTACTCAAAAATATGATGTGATATTTTCACCAAAAAAAAAAAATTGTTGGAAGTGGGCCTAAATCTCAAGCCCACTTAACCCTAATTTACTCTTCTACCTTAGTGCAGCTGCCACAATCTTTTAATTAGTTTTTATTGTTACATTATCTTAAGGATATCAGAACATTATTTCCTGTTTATCTCTTATCATTTATTTAGATAAGATACGATATGATATGGGAAATCACCTCCCTTTCCTATATGTACCTATCTTTGAATGGAATAAAACATATTGCGCTGCGTTTTCACATGGTATTAGAGTGACACATGTCGTTCAAGTCAGTGTTGAAGGGCCAAACCAGAGCCTTCACTATCATCGGTGACGAAACCCAATCATCGCCGGAGACAGGAGAGGGATCAAACAAGATGGCCGACTCTGGGAATGGTGTGAACCAAACCATTACGATCAGTTCTGCGTCCAATTCTACCTCACAAATCATGATTTCCCATAAATTGAATGGGAACAATTATCTTCAATGGTCAAGAAATGCCCTTATGTTCGTACGTGGTAAGGACAAAGAGAGATATCTCACCTAGACTCCTGAGCCTCCAGCTACCGACAACTCGCAATATTCAGCTTGGTGTGCAGAGGACAATTTGGCAATGACTGGCTTGTTCACTCAATGACTAAAGAAATTAGTGAGAACTACCTACTCGCTACTTCTGCTCAAGAAATTTGGGAGTTAGCAAAACATGCATACTCTATCCGGGAAAATACAGCAACCATCTATGAGGTTTAGTGACAATTACAAAACTTGACTCAAGGAGAGAAATCTGTGACGTAGTACTTCAATGCTCTTATGCGCTCATGGCAGCAAATCGATTTGTATGAGGTTCACCAGTGGACTTGTCATAAGGACGAGGTATATTTTAAACAACATATTGAACGTGAATGCTGTCATGATTTTCTACTTGGTTTGTCTGATGTATATGAGGATATTCGTGGAAGAATTATGGGGATTAAACCTTTCCCATCTCTAGATGATGCCTTCAACACAATTAAATACGAGGAAAGTCACAAAGCACTAATTCAAGGTCCTTCAAATGTTTCTCCCTTACCAATTGTTGAAACCTCAGCTATGGTAACTCGTGGCAATTCAGAGGTCGATCAAAAAGGGGAAAAAAGGTGTGATCATTGCTACAAAAATGGTCATACACATGATTTCTATTGGAAACTTCATGGCAGGCCTACAAACATGAAGCAACGACCAAAGGGTGATAGAGACAGCAAGGGTATGATGACTAGCAGTGCTACAGACAGTGACATACTGAACCCTGATGAACTCACTATTGTATGCAAGATTCTTGATAAGTACTCCCAAGAGAAACCTAGTGGAACAGCAACCCCTTCTGTTACTTTAGCCCACACAGGTATTGGATTTTTCACAACATTCAAAATTAACTCAAAGAACACATGGGTAGTTGATTTGGGGGCCACAAACCATGTTACAAGTTTTAAAGAATTGTTCACTAAATTTACAACTTATTCAGAGCATCCACGGGTTCAAGTTGCAAATAATACCTATGCGAAGGTTATGGGTTTAGGCACTGTTGTTGTTTCAGCAAACATAACCTTATCTAATGTTCTCTATATGCCAAATATTAAGTGCAATTTATTGTCTGTAAAATGTATAGCCTATCAATTAAAGTGTCTTGCTATCTTTGACCAATTTCACTATGATTTTCTGGACTTAGCTTTGGGGAAGGCGATTGGCAAGGCTATAAGGAGTGTAATGGGCTCTATTATCTACAAGGCAACTCCTACCAATAAAGGGTTCGTGGTACACTCCCGTTATAGTTTGTTGAGACACTACCATTCTACCCCAAATTACCCATTCAAGGGGAGAGTGATAGTGAATGGTTAATTTGTGCTCCTAAGTGTGATAATTTAAGTAAAAGACAGCAAGCAAATATCCCTATAGTTAGGTCCCCATCACCACCCACTATCTCAGATCTTTAACACTGGTCCTATTTCTGCACTTCCAGCACCGATAGGCACTCTACCACAGGATATTGTACTTTTGTTTGGGGCAATCCGGTGACATGGAGGAGGAAAAAAACAACCTGTGATGTCAAGGAGCTCTGCTAAATCTAAATATAGGGCTTTAGTCCTTGGGATTTGTGAAGGAATATAGGTAGTACGGCTCCTAAAAGAGCTTGGTATAGAAGTATTGTGAAATCCCCGAGATAATGCTCATTATTTCCTCCTGATTTATTTTCTGCCTTTTATTCCATCATTTATTACTCATTATTCCTTGATTCTTTTACCGTTGTATATAGCTGTTATAGGCTTTTATTATGTTTCCTTTTCTTGCTCTGTATAATTCATATAAAGATGTGTACATGTGCTCTGGGAATATATACGAATAATACGAATTATTCAATCTGGTCTCCCTACTCACATGGTATCAGAGCAAGAGGGGGAGATCTGACCTGTTGACCGTATCGTGTCATGCCTAACGATCTCAACGAGTCGACAAAGTCGACTATGGAACCTGACGGCTCTGCCGCTACCTCGAAGCCAGTTGCGCTGAACCCTTCGAAGGAAATGCAGTGTTGATCGTGACTCACCAGTGATAATTACAGAGAGTGGGCCCAGTCAATCCGCCTCGCTGTTGAAGGACGAGGGAAGCTCGGGTACCTCACCAGTGATGTCGCGCATCCCCCCAACATAAATTCGCAAGCTGTACGCGTTTGGCAAATTGAAAACTCACTGGTAGCTTCTTGGTTGATCAACGCAATGCAACCCACCATTAAACGCAGCTTCATGTTTCTCCCAACAGGCGGAGAGATTTGGGAGGCGATCCGCAAAGCTTATTCTGATGGAGAAAATGTCTCTCAAATGTTTGAAATTAAAACGAAGCTGTGGCAGATGAAACAAGGTACAGGAAGCCTAAACGAATATTATCTAAACATGTTTGCTTTATGGCAGGAATTAGACCTCCAGAACGAAGAAAACTGGAAGTGCTCTGAGGATGCAGCCCAGTACAAAAAGAAGGTCGAAAAGGAGCGCTTATTTGAGTTCCTCGCTGGTGTCAACTCGAATCTGGATGCAGTACGAGGATGCATCTTGAGTCGTGTGCCTCTTCCTATCGTTCGAGAGGCTTTTGAGGAAGTTAGGAGGGAGAAGTCACGCCGGAAGGTTATGTTACAGCCTTTATTAGATACCCCAATAAATAAATCTGAATCATCTGCCCTCATTTCTTGTGGAACTGACCTTAAAAGTCAAATGACTAAACTTTTGTGTGAGCATTGTAAGAAAACAGGACACACAAAAGAAACTTGTTGGGATATTCATGGGAAACCAGTAGATTGGAAGCCCAAGAGAGGAAGAGGCCGTGGATATGTTGCTAAGAAAAGTGAGGAAAAGGCTTCCACATCTCAGAATACATTGACCGAACAGGTTTCAAAATTAATGGAGCTCCTAACTAACCTTCAACCTTCTGGGCAACCAGCACGAGCTCAACCCACTGCCACTGTGGTCCATAGAGGTAACTTTATATATGCCTTAAATACCATCCAGGGCTTATGTTCAAGTAGATGTTAGATAATTGACTCTGGTGCCTCTGACCACATGACTGATAACCGGACTTTACTTACTACCTATACTCCGTGTGATGGCTCATTAAAAGTAAAAATTGCTGATGCTTCTTTATCACCAGTGATTGGTATAGGTAGTATTCGCTTGTCAAACCAGATAACTCTTATGCTGTACTACATGTTCCAAATCTAAAATGCAATTTACTTTCTGTCCATAAACTCACCAAATATGAAAAATGTCATGCTGATTTTTATGACACACTGTTTATTTCAAGACCTGTCAACAAAGAAGACGATTGGTTATGCTAAAGGGTTTGATGGTCTTTACTACTTTGATGAAGCCTCAATAAAACCTAGCATTGGAAATAAAGTGTCCTTTAAATCAAGTGATTTTCTTTTATGGCATAAGCGTCGGGTCATCCAAACTTTCAGTATATGCTTCAAATGTTTCCTTCTAGTTTTTCAAATAAAGAAATTTCAGATACTTATTGTGATATTTGTGAGGTTGCTAAACACCAACGCACTAGTTTTCATCGAAACATTTACCAACCTTCTTCTCCGTTTTCAGTTATCCATAGTGACCTTTGGGGACCAAGTCGTACCCCTAGCCCAACTCTTCAAAAATGGTTTATAACTTTTATTGATGACCATACGCGGGTTTGTTGGACATATTTACTAAAAGACAAAACAGATGTCTATTCAGTCTTTTCTAATTTTTATCACATGATCAAAAATCAGTTTCAAACCTCCATAAAAGTCTTACACACTGATAATGGCACAGAATACATTAACAAAAACCTGACTCACTTCCTCCAACTAAACAGTATCATCCACAAAAATTCTTGCCCTTACACCCCTCAACAAAACGGCATTGCCGAAAAGAAAAACAGACACATCCTTGAAGTAGCCAGGACTCTTCTTCTCACACATAATGTTCCGAAATACTATTGGGGAGATGCTATTCTCACAGCCACCTTTCTTATTAATCGAATGCCAAGTAAACCCCTCTCCTTCAAAACCCCTCTAGAAGTCCTTCAATCCACTCATTATGTCCCATATCTCCAAAACAATCTTCCCTTAAAAGTCTTTGGGAGCACCGTCTTTGTTCACATCCACCATCATAGTAAACTAGATCCTAGGGCAGTCAAATGTATCTTCCTAGGATACTCTGCCTCCCACAAAGGGTACAAGTGCTACGACCCAATTAAGAAGCAACTCTATGTCACGTGTGATGCTACCTTTCATGAGTCAGAATCCTTTTATCCCAAGACCACAATTCAGGGGGAGAGTCTAGGTGAATTGCTACCTTTAGAAAAGGACCCGAATGAAAATCAGTCTTACCTAGAATATGAGTCACCTGATCAACCCTACCTAGAACATGAGCCTCCTCTCACCCTTTCAAATGAACAGCAAAGTTCTAAGGAAGAAAGACACAATCAACCTGAGGGAGAAAACCATACCAAAAGAAAACATAAGGAATTTAACAAAGTTTACAACAGGAAAATAAAACCTCCTCACAGGCCATCAAGCTCCCAACAAAACCAAGCGACTGAACAGTTGACAGATCCTGCCAACAAGGAATCTGATGAATCTGGTGTAGATGATGCAGAACCTATGGAGAGCACAAGATCAGATCTAGACCTTCCAATCGCTCTAAGAAAGAAACCTAGAAGCTGGACTCAACACCCAATAGAAAACTCCATATCTTACAAAGCCCTATCATCACAATATGGAGCATTTATAAGCAACTTAGATGCTACAAGAACTCCCACTACCATTGAAGAAGCTCTAACATCTCCTAATTGGAGAGAAGCTATCATGGAAGAGATGAACGCGTTAAGGAGGAATGGAACTTGGGAAGAAGCTATCCTACCACGAGGCAAGAAAGCTATTGGATGCAAATGGATATTCACAGTAAAGTACAAAGCTGATGGAACCATTGAGAAGTTCAAAGCAAGACTTGTGGCAAAAGGTTTCTCACAAATCTATGGAATAGATTACACAGAGACATTTGCTCTGGTAGCTAAACTCAACACGGTGAGAGTTCTGATGTCATTGGCAACCAATCTAGACTGGCCCATCTACCAATTAGACGTAAAAAATGCATTTCTAAACGGTGACCTCAAGGAAGAAGTGTACATGACACCACCACTAGGGTTCCCTACCACAAAACCAAACATGGTGTGCAAACTGAAGAAATCATTGTACGGCCTGAAACAATCACCACGGGCGTGGTTTGAAAGGTTCACCCGAGTCCTAAAGAATGAGGGCTACACTCAGGGACAAAGTGATCACACACTATTCTTCAAACATAGACATAACAAGAAAACCATCTTAAGTGTCTATGTGGATGACATAGTACTCACAGGAGACGACTAAGAAGAAATTGAGAAAATAAAGGCAGCTATGGCAAAAGAATTTCAAGTGAAAGACTTGGGGGAAATGAAGTACTTCCTTAGGATGGAAGTGGCTCGATCAAAGAAAGGACTATATATATCCCAACGGAAATATGTACTTGACCTACTCAAAGAAACAGGAATGCTAGGTTGTAGACCAAGCTCTACCCCAATTGAGGTCACAACTAAAAGAAAAAAGAAAAAGAACGAAGCAAACAAAGAAGAATTAGAGGATAAAAAAGAAACCGAAGAGAGCGAAGACGAAGAAGAAGAAGAAGAAGAAGAAGAAGAAGCGAGTGAAGAGAATGATGTTGACAAAGGAAGATACCAAAGACTTGTGGGAAGGTTAATCTACCTCTCCCACACAAGACCAGATATAGCGTTTGCGGTTAATGTAGCAAGCCAACATGCACATGCACCAAAGAAAAACATCTCAAAGCTGTCTACAAAATCTTGAAATACTTAAAGGGCAACCCAGGTAAAGGTATATTATACAAGAAGGGTACCAATTGAAGGGTGGAGATTTTCACAGATGCAGATTATGCGGGTTCTCAAGGAGACAGAAGATCTACAACAGGTTATTGCACATATGTTTGGGGAAACCTGGTTTCGTGGAGGAGTAAGAAACAAAATGTAGTATCCCGAAGTAGTGCAAAATCAGAGTATAGGGCAGTTGCACAAGGAATATGTGAGCTAATCTGGATAAAGAGGGTCCTAGAAGAACTAAAGATGGACATGGAGTTCCCCATGAAGTTATACACTGACAGTATGGCTGCCATAAGCCTATCTCACAACCCGGTGCAACATGATAGAACCAAACATGTTGAAGTAGCAGACACTTTATCCGAGAAAAATTAGATGGAGGGCTTGTTACTCTCATACGTGTGCCAACATGGGATCAAACAGCTGATATCTTTACAAAAGGATTACACAGAGAAAAATTTGAAGGTTTTGTGCACAAGTTGGACATGATTGATATCTATGGTCCAACTTGAGGGGGAGTGTGAAATCCCCGAGATAATGCTCATTATTTCCTCCTGATTTTCTGCCTTTTATTCCATCATTTATTACTCATTATTCCTTGATTCTTTTACTGTTGTATATAGCTGTTATAGGCTTTTATTATGTTTCCTTTTCTTGCTCTGTATAATTCATATAAAGCTGTGTACATGTGCTCTGGGAATATATACGAATAATACGAATTATTCAATCTGGTCTCCCTACTCACAAGTATTACCGATTAAAATGTGGTGTGATAGTATGGCTAACCTCAAGATAGCTAATAACCCAGTTCAACATGACCGTACCAAACATGTTGGATTGACAGACATTTCATTAAGGAGAAGATTGATGCTAAGGTGATAGATCTCTCCTACATTGCTTCTGGGAAGCAAATAGCTGATATGATGACTAAACCACTGGCTAGATCCAAATTCGATGAACTACTGAGCAAGCTGGGAATGATCAACATCTATTCGCCAGCTTGAGGGGGAGTGTTGGAAGTGGGCCTAAATCTCAAGCCCACTTAACCCTAATTTACTCTTCTACCTTAGTGCAGCTGCCACAAGATTTCACTTTAATCTTTTAATTAGTTTTTATTGTTGCATTACCTTAGGGATATCAAAACACTATTTCCTGTTTATCTCTTATCATTTATTTAGATAGGATACGATATGATATGAGAAATCATCTCCCTCTCCTATAGGTACCTATCTCTTGAATGGAATAAAACATATTGCGCTACGTTTTCACAAATATGATGTGATTTTTAGTTGATGCTGATGAAGTTAGCCGTAATTTGGAACAATGGATTTAAGATTGACAGATTTTAAGGCTTTGTTTGCAGTAACTATGGAGATTGATGCCCATTCGGGAACAAAATAAAATGCAAGAGCACCACAAGTTACCAACCTGTGCAGTTCTGCTGGGCAATGGTACCTCTAAGCAGTTTCGAAGGCCATCAACTCTGCCAAGTTCACCGTATCAAAAATTTTAGAGACAGTCTTTTTTCCTCCCTTCCCTCTTTTTTTTGGTTGGGGTGGGGGTGTGGGAGGTTATGGCACAATGACAAGAGACAGGAGAGGCGTGAGCCTACCTTCTGCTGATAGTTTTATGAATATACTGGTCTTCTTTGATGCACCCCTGACCTCCATACTTTACTTCATCTGTGTTCAGAATGATCTGTGCCATCAAGATAAAAATTAGAGCCTACTCCTTTATAGGAGGGGGAAAGAAAAGAAAGCTTATAAAGCACAGGTTTTCCAAACACATCAAGACTAATAGCAGCAGCAGCAGTAATAGTAATCATATAAACAACAATGATAATACAGGAAAAGAAGAAAAAGAAGAACAACAACACCACATGAGAAAAGGATCAAAGAGAACGATACTTACTCGATACTAAGAAAAGAATCAGAAGAGAACGATACTTACTTGATACTCTCCTGCTTCATCTGCACCTACAGAGTAGCTACCATATGAATTTGTCGGATGGAAATTGAAAATAAAGAGAAGGGGGCCTCTAATGTAAGATATGACCTGAAAAACATGAATTCATATAGGAGTAGTGCGTATGGAAAACAGAAAAAGAAAACATTCTGCTATATACAACAACCAGCGACAGGAGACACAATACCATAACACCTTTTCAAAATAAAGAATTAAAAAATGATAGGGGGCTCCACGTAAACTGGAGAAAAGCAAAGTATCAAGAACACTTGACTAGCTCTTCACATACTTCTTAACCCTTGGCATAAAAAATGAAATTTAATTGGGGAAAGGAAGCTAGAATGAATCAAAATGACATTAAGACTATAATACTTCCTAAAACATGCTTTACATTTCTATAAGACTCTTCGAGGCATCATATTGATTAAATAAGTGAAGTTAGCCTCTGTCCAATATAGTCAGAAAGATTTCATATTAGGCAAAGCGACCTAGCCCCTTCATGGTGGTGTCTAAAGTCTATTCATCCTCTCTGCTACCTCATTTTGTTGAGTGGTACTGACACAGGAGCTTTAGTGGATAATTCTATGGATAGCTAGGTATGCTTTTAGTTCAGAGTTGAAAAATCCTCTTCCTTTCAGCTGTTGCCCAATTAATTAAGACATTCTTGAATGCACACACGCACTTCATCAGGTAAATCATGAAGAAGTGCTAATAGAATGTTGTGTAAAAATAAATAAATTTGAAAGGTTGTCAGCGTAGTTAGGGTACTAGCTGTTATAGTCGTTAGTCTAAGGGTATGAGGCCTAAGTCTATAGATAAGGCAGCACTGATTGAACAGACTTAGATCGCCCTATTCAGGGATCCTCTCTTGCTTCTCTCATCTCTCTTGTTCTCCTAACTCTTCCTCTCTTTTACCTTCTTCTCTGCCCCCCCCCCTTTTCTATTCCATTTTACAGTCATATAACACAGGAGCTCAAACTTCTCTCTCAACTGAGTGACAATTCCTTCTTGCTTAAGACTTATTAACCTCTGATAGGCGTCCCAAGCTGATAACAATGAAAATGCTCCACCAATCCCCGAAAAAATTGACCGAGAAGTAAAATAGTGCTTTGAACAAGCAACCAACCGGATCTTCCCATCTCAAGTAGGGAGCTGTGACATTCCAAAACCCCCCAAGCCCTTCTACCCAAATATTTTGGTCCTTTCTTCTGCTGTTTCCACGTCAGTAGCCTGCTTCACAGCATTCTAGGCTTCAACCATTGTATTCTGAGTTCAGCTACTATGTTCTAGCTAACCATCACATTGTCTAGCTTGACTTCTGACGTTGAAAGCAGCTTCTAAGTCCTCAAGCTCCTCCCCCAGCTCTCTTATTGCCTCGGTCCCCTTTTTGTAGCTCACCAACAATCTTCTCTAGTACATGCATTCTGTTCTCCATTCTAAAACTAACAATGCACCAACATTACCTGCTCTAATATCAAGTGTTGAGTTCAAGCTCTGGTTCTATATGCCATTTAATAATGAAAAATTAGCTCAAGGTTGGCCTGAAGATACAGAAACATAATTAAACATGAAAGAAAAAGCATAAAAGCATCTCAAACACTAGTTTCTGATACAAGGGTCATTTTCATTTACACTCCTATTACCTTGCCATTTATTTAGATGCCTATCCCTCCCTCATACGCACAAACTTTCTGTATCATGCCATGTCCCCTAATCGCTATTCTTAATTCCTTGACATACATGCACTACCTGCCAAGGTAGCCTTCCTTTTGCTTCTCCTTAATACAACCCCTGGCTTCTAGGTTGTTGCCCCACAGCCCATCATGTCCATCATCTGTCCGCTTTTATTCCCTTGTTTTTTTTAATTAATGATACACGGGTCATTTTCATTTACACTCCTATTACCTTGCCATCAAGGAGAAAAAAACCGGATCAGACCGGACGGTTCAACCGGAAAACCGGTGAACCGGTCTGAGGTCCGGTCTGGTTTAGCTTAAAAACCGGTCTCCAGTTAAACCGGAACAACTCGGAATGAACCGTAATAAACCGGCAAAAACCGAACAAACCGCTGGCTTGACTGGGTTGGCCGATTGGTTTTTTCCCCACTTCTTTCTTGTTTTCACCGTTCGCCGGACGTCTTGCCGTTTGTAGAGACCATGAACACTACAGAAACAAGTGGTAGAAGTAGAGGAGATCATTGAGATGAAGGAAGACAGAACTTACTTTGTGTCGCTTTGAAGCATACTTGTGAAAGACTAGAAGGCAAGTAGAAAGAAAATAGAGAGTGAATGAACGAATAGAGTGCAGAGAGAACAAATGGTGCTATTGCTCGTTGCTTCTCAATTTGAGAAAGAAAGAAGTGAGAAAGGTAGGAAGTAATTTGAGAGGACGAACAGAGAAACAACCATGCGTGTTCAAAGAGGCAACATGCTCTGCTCCACCGCCTACTGGTCTGCTTGTTCAGTGATGCGTGACAGAAAAATGCAAAAGTGGAGCAAGGAGTGCACGTGGGAGAGAGAAAAAGGAGGGAGAGAGAGGAAAATTTTATTGGGTGAAGTGAAAGGAAAAAAAGGAAAAAAAAAATAAAAAAAGAAGTAAAAGAATTTCATATACGTGGACATTTTGCAGATTACCCATTAAAAATTTAAATATTATTTTGTATAATTAGAATATGAATATTTTCACTAATTTAACTAAATTATATTATTTTAATTATTACCGGTTTGATACGGTTTGACCCCGATCTGACCCATTAACCCTTAAACCAGTGTCTCGACCGGTTCATTATCCGGTCCGGTTTTTTGTTCCTTGCTTGCCTCACGGTCCAAGATATGCATCCACAATTACTGCTAGCTATGTTAGGGTCCAGCGTCCTGTGCTGGTTTATTCTAGAAAGAAACACAAGGACTAAGGGTAGTTTACGTCAGTTTATGTTTTATGTGTGTTGTCTTATTTTAAGTGCTTTTAATTATGAGTTTGTTTAAGACAGTTATGCCATCAGTTATTGATGTTAGTCTTTTAAGTATTGTACTATCAGACTATGGGGCTATGACAAGTATTATTCAGACAAGATATTCTCTCCTTCTCTAGAGTTCAGATTCTGACTCTAGTCTCTTTCTCTATCTCTCTCTCTCCCTCCTCTTCTTTCTTCCTCTCTCCTATTTCTCTCTCAATTTTCTCAGGATCTAACAAGCTACTTGTTAATCAAGTGAATAGAAGCTTACCTAAAACAGAACAGACCCGTTTATATCAGTAATTACGGATCAAAAGGAAAGGTCATCAACAAATCAAAACAGAAAAGTAGCCACCAATTAACAAAACAGCAAATGGAAGAAGTGAAAATTCAGTATACCATTGAATTTTCATTCACGTGGTGAATGTTTGAAAACCCTCGAGAAAGTACTCTCTCATTTTCATCTAGAACCATCATGTCCTGGCAAAAAATAAATAAATAAATAAAAGACGCACAAGCAAATTCATCATCTGCCACTTTAAGCATGTCATTTCAGATTGCTAGGAGGCTTTTCAAAACGTCAAGTGTGGACCTTGATAGTAGGTTCAAGTCAAACGTCAAAAGAAAACTAAAAATAGAATAAACAACCTCCTACCAGTACATACTGTATAAACATTTATGATCACTATGAAAAAGACACACAATCTGGCACATAACACAAAACGGAGTCGGGTTACTTACAATGTCAGTTACTTTCAAAAAAGAGTCCTACAATGTAATCAGCAACACAAGTTTTATAGAAAAGGACTCGAATAACACCTTATCAAAGGAAATTAAATCACGATTAACTCCATCTTTTGCCAACAGATCCCACTGACGATTGGCCAGTGAATATGAGAACTCGTTGCTTGGTGTCGGAAACTCAACCCTCTGGCACAAGTAAAACATCCTAAGTTTAAAATAATTAAGTTTTAAGAATTCTTAAAGTGTGTAACTCTACCTTTGGATGGCCAAATTCATTGCCCATGAAATTCAGAAAGGCACGGCCTCCAATTGCAAATGTTGATAATCTAATCATCTGGCTCAAGGTCAACAAAATTAATAAAACAATGCATTGAAACTTGTAAGAGAACCATCCATGTTATTCATAGTTTTTTTTTTTAAATTCAGCCTACTCCTACAGCCAAAATATGAGATATAGAGAAACAGAAATTTGGAAGAAAAAACCGGCAGAACCCACAACAGAAGCTTATTGGAGAAAATATAATTATGTTGAATCTCAATTGTAGTAACATACTTTATATAATGAAGATCCTCTCGTCAGGGAGTCTTTATAGTTAGGTGAATGCTCATTCAATTCACCAAACAATATCTCTGCAAATGACCGCCCACCTGATATGGACTGGCAGGCAAAATAAGAAGACATGAATAGATTAAAAGCTAAGCCTTCAACCAAAATAGTCCTTGTATGTACAAGAGAGAAGCTATAATTTAAGACTAATATACCTGATTGTGATTTTCTGCATACACAAGCCTCTTATCAGCATATTCTCTATTGGACATTAATGTGTCAACAATCTGAAGAGTGAAAAGCAACAAAAACGGAAGCATATAATTATAATAAGCTTCAGAGAAAAATTTTAGAGCCGTCCAGAACATCCCGTTTAACTATGAAATAGATCAAATACATTAAAGTACAACCTTACTCATGCTCCACTCATGATCAGGAACATTCTCAAGTAAAGACGACCACATCTCAGATACTGAAAGGTTAACATAATAATCAAATCCTAATCCACCTTGAGAAGTTGCCTCACATAATCCTGGATAAAATGTCGCCTGAACAAATAGATATAACAATTATACACAAATAGAGAAAGCTGATGATCTCAAGAAAATGAATCCTTTTTCCAATAAAAACCCTAATAGATCAGTTTTGTAAGGAAAAAAAAATACGCATGTAAAAATGAATAGGAAGTGGAACAGGAAAGAGATTGGAAGTGAATTTTAGACGTATGTTATGTATGTAAGAAAGACTAGATGGAATATTCGTATAAAATGTTTCATAGATATTTAAAAAAAAAAAAAGCCTTTTGAGCCAAACTCACTCTCATTTTCCCCTCTGGCCCCAAAAGCCCATATGTACCCACTGAGGCTGATCAGAGACTAAAGCTTTTGTAGGGAACCAACCTACCATTGAAGGCATGACAGTGATGCCTGGATGTTGAGGGGAAAATGTTTGATAGATTCATTCCATAGGTTACAAGGGTATTTATACAAGGAGCCTTTCACAATACTAATAAATCAAAGAGAATTAACTTCTAACCCCCAACTACCAGCTGCTGCTAACACTCACTACCATGTACACCATTTAACAACCCCTGTCAAGCTGGAGAGTGGATATCATCCATTCCCAACTAAGAAACTAAGTTCTGAATTTTTTCACTAGAGTCCCTTTGTGAGAATATCTACCTATTGATCACCCAAAGGAACAAGTGGAATATAGATTAGGCTACTTTCCATTTCTTCCTTGATAAATTGTCGATTAGTCTAAACATGCTTTGTTTGATCATGATGAACTGGATTATGAGCAATATTGATAGCTGACGTGTTGTCACAATAAAGCTTCATTGGGCCTTCCCATTTGAACTTCGGGTCTAATAGAATAATTTTAATCCACAATAATTCACAAATTCCAAGTGCCATGGCTCAAAACTCAGTTTTAGTATTAGATCTAGAAACCACATTCTACTTCTGGCTTCTCCATCTAATGAGATTTAAACCAAGTACAACAAGCAGCTATAGATCTCCTATCATCAAGGGTCCCTCCATGGTCTCCATCAATTTACTTCAATTGTCAATCTCCTCCCCCTTCGCAACAGAATCCCTTTGCCTAGAGTACCCTTCAAGTAATGAAGTATTCTGTATACTGCCCTCAGAAGTGATCCTTTAGGATCATGCATAAATCAACTCACCATACTTATTGCATATGCAATAACATAAACTTCCCAACAAGCTTTTTTGTGGAATTCCTTGTTGACCGAAGAATCTTTTGGTGGTTTACACAGTTTTTTATTTGGCTTTGGTCTAGGAGCTCGCTTCCTTGCATCACAAAGTCTGTGATTTTGTGGTGTATCCAATAGTTTGCAACCTAGCTTCCCTATCTCAGCTAGGAGGTCACGAACGTAATTTTGTTAAGATATTAAAATACTATGTTTTGAATGAGCAACCTCAATGCCCAAAAAGTATTTGAGCCTTCCTAAATCCTTAGCACAAATTTTCTCATCAACTATCTTTGCAGATAATTAATCCCTTCCAGATCATCTCTTGTCACTATGATATCATCAACATAGACAAGTAAGATTGTCACTCCCCTTGAAGCTGATTGTTCAATAAACAAAGTATGGTCACCATGTGATATGTAGCAATGGTATTAGTAAGGGCAATAGGGCAAAACAGTAAAGATATGTATTCAATTGACACCAAATACAACTTCTAGTGTGCCATTTATAGATCACTACCCCTTTCTATTTACCTTCTTTCCCTTACTAATATTATTACCACATATCAGCATGTCTCTGTTTGTATCCCATGTGAACCATGGATCATGTAAAACTCCCAAAGCACGCCCTTTGAGTATGATTGATGCAGTGCACCAAATTTCCTTCACCAAAGGCAGGAACAAGCATGTTTAACTGACTTCAAGAGCCATAGATTGGTTGGTGAAATGGCAGACAACATGACCTAGATTGGTTGGTGATGGAGAGAGGGTCACATGCCCTCATGCACTGATGTGTGGGCTCTATAATAGAAAATGGCAAGCAGTGTGCGGCTTCTAGGGAAATGCTCTGATTGGCAAAATTATGCCAATTGGCCATTAGGGCAGTGGCAGGGTGTTACAGTTGAATTAGGTGAAGGAAACAGAAAAGGAAGTAGCAACAAAGGTCTATGGCAGCGACCCAACCACTAAAAAAAAAAAAAAGGAATTTAAGGAAGCAATAAGCTTTGAATAAAGTTTAATGGAAAACATAACAATGATATGCATGCAGAAAGAGGAAAATGTACAACGAAGAAGAGAGATGCATGGATAAGGGAGAGATTTGGAATTATAGATCCCCAAATTCTAGGGCTAAAATTCTCTAAATTATAATTTAATCATAACATTAACAAACATGAATGAATAAATGTTGTAGTTTGGGAATAACAAAAGCAGTCCTGATGAAATATGGCCCACATTTCAATTCCAAAATAAATGGTCATACTACTTTTTGTTCAATAATTTTTGCAAAGACATAATGCACAAGTGGTCAAGAATATCTAACTAAATCAAAGATGCAATTATACTTACATCTTCTGCTATAGTAATTATATTAGGATAAAGTGCGTGCAGTATTTCATTGGCCAATATGAGATATAATAGTGCATCCTTGTCAACATATTGATTGCAGTACCTGCGAGAAAGTAGAATTCAATGCATGGATTTTAAGTCTTATATTTTTAAACTCTCTAAATAGTGAGAATAACGAATCTTCAAACAAGAAATTACATTACACAAATATTTCTTCAAGACAAACCATCTAGTCTCTTGGCACAACAGAATAATGGTTCCCGTCATTAAAAAAAGGTTGCAGAGCAGAAGAGAAATCACACACGTTTCTTCTTTTTTTCCCAACAAGAAATCACATATATGCAGAAAATTTTCTCCAACACCTAATATAGCTAATTGAAATCAATTTACATAAAGCAGATTGCAATATAAATATCTGATGTATCATAACCTGAAACAAATGAAAAATGGCAGCGAGAATCTTCAAGAAGCCTTGTGAAAAAAGAAACTAATAAATATATGCCTTCTCATATGAGGACTCTTCAATTATCTCTACGAAAATGTATGGTAAATTTGAAGTTGTATCAAAAACTGTGAAAAGAAATCAAAACGTTAAAATAACATATGCTGTTCTTGCCCTAGTCTCATGGCTTTACTGATAATATCCTCATGTTTTTATAATTCATTTCCCAATGTCCTCTTTCCATTTTAGCAGTCCCTAAAGATGATTAACTTTGTGCTACTCATGTCTCTAAATTGTTGCTTTCTTTAGGGATTAAAGCTCCAAAATGTTTGCCTTTCTTCCTATATATTGCGTTTTATATCGTCTTCAATAACATAATCACGATATAAAGTCACTGTTTTCTCTTCTCACAGCTCTTCATGAGTATTCCCACATTGAAAGTTGCAGGTGTCGTTACTCTCATTCAAAAGTTTTGTTGAGTTGTGGACCCAAGCCCAACTAGGCCCATTAGCAATTAGTGAAAAACCCAAGTAGTTATGTAGTTCATTATTCCTCAATTATGTATATATCTTAGATATCTAGATTAGATATGATAAGATAAATTCAGATACTAGGTTAAGGTTTAGGTTTAGGTTTATTTTTCAATAGCTCCTATGTCTCTTGTCAATATATTTCAACCTTAAGTAACTTTCTGAAGTAACCAATAATAGAATTAGAGGTGCACTTCACCTCAATTCCCTACAAGTTTCCATGGACATTAGCCTCTTAGTAAATGGTGTGCTCCACAAAACTCATATTTAGGAGAGATACAAGAGGAAGCATGTAAGTTTTAGTCCCATAACTCACCAACACCGAACTCTATGCCAACTTCCCTACTTCAACCTAAGCCTCTAGTTTCCAACTGTGGGCTTGTGAATAATAATTCTTATTGATCTCATCAGAATGGTACAGCGGAATAAATAGGAAAAACCTGAATACATGAGAGGGTAGAGAGAGAAGAATCTAGAGAGATCCTAGCCGAAATAGTAGGAGAATCAGAAATCAAAATTCAAAATATACTAAATCCCTAAATAAGCTCTCTAATTGCGGCAGACTAGATAACTAGGTTAACTAGGTCTAAACCTAGGGTTAAGTCTAGGGTTTTGGGCCCAAAGCCCATTAGAGTTCGACGCTAACACTCCCCCTCAAGCTGGTGAGTAGATATCCTTCATGCCCAGCTTGCTTCTGAAGAACTCAAACTGACCTCGATCAAGTGGTTTAGTGAGAACATCTGCCACTTGTAACTTTGATCTTATAAAACTCAAATCAATTATCTTTGCTTCAACCTTTTCCTTTATGAAGTGTCGGTCAATGTCCACATGTTTGGTTCTATCGTGATGGACTGGGTTGTGGACCATTTGCAAAGCTGATTTGCTATCACACCATAACTTCATAGGTGAGTCTGTAGTAATCTTCAATTCTGTTAAAACTCGAGTTAGCCATATTCCTTCACACACTCCATTTGCTAGGGCTCTTAGTTCTGCTTCAGCACTACTTCTTGATACAACAGTCTGCTTCTTGCTTCTCCATGTCACTAAGTTACCCCAAACAAATGTAAAGTAGCCTCCTGTGGATCTTCTATCAACTAGATCTCTTCCATGGTCTGCATCTGTATAAACTACAATATCTCTTGCTGCTCCTTTTGTGAAGAAAATTCCCCTTCCTGGTGTCAACTTCAAGTATCTCAGTATGGTGTATATTGCTTCCATATGCTGTTCTTGTGGTTTTGATGCAAATTGACTAACCACTCCTACAGCATAGCTTATACCAGGTCTAGTATGAGATAGATAAATTAGTTTCCCAACTAGCCTTTTGTACCTTTCAGCATCTACAGGTACTCCATCCTTCTTGTACTCTAGGTTGGCTGATGAATCCATAGGAGTAGAGGATGGTTTTGCTCCAAGCATTCCAATTTCTTTAAGCAAGTCAAGAGTATATTTTCTCTGAGATACAGAAATCCCCTCTTTTGACCGAGCAACCTCCATTCCCAGAAAATATCTAAGATTGCCAAGATCTTTTACTTCAAATGCAGTTGCCAATGCTTTCTTGAGTTGTTTGATTTCCTCCAAATCATCTCCTGTCACCACTATGTCGTCTACATATACAATTAGAATAGACACTTTGCTTCCTGAGTGCTTCACAAAAAGTGTATGATCTGCCTGACAATGAGTGTAGCCCGAGTCTTTTACCACCTTAGTAAATCGCTCAAACCAGGCCCTAGGAGACTGCTTCAACCCATATAAGGATTTGTGTAGTTTACATGCCAGATTTTTACTCCCAAATTCTACAACTCCTTCTGGAATTTTCATGTATACCTCCTCCTCAAGGTCTCCATTTAGGAAGGCATTCTTCACATCTAATTGGTATAGAGGCCATTCGAGATTTGCAGCTAAGGATAATAAAATCCTTATTGTATTTAGTTTTGCTACTGGGGCAAATGTTTCTTGGTAGTCAATACCTTGTGTTTGTGAGTAGCCCTTTGCTACAAGCCGGGCTTTGAATTTGTTCACAGTACCATCAGAATTATACTTGATAGTAAACACCCATTTGCACCCAACAGCCTTTTTTCTTGTGGGTAACTTTTTTACAGTCCATGTTTGATTCTTCAATAGAGCTTCTAACTCCTCCTTAATAGCCTCTCGCCATCTTGGATCACTGTATGCCTCTTCAAATGTTGATGGAATTTTCTCCTCATCAATTTTAGTCACAAAACCTTTCATATCAGTAGATAAATGGTCATAAGAGACATAACGACCTATAGGATGTAGAGTACATTGCCTTACCCCCTTTCTCAAAGCAATTGGCCATCCTGTGTCATCAGATTCTGGAGTTTGGGTGGACTCCTGGCTTTGCTGTGAGCTAGAAGGATCTCTATTACTTGGTGATTGCACATCTCTATCCTCTTCGTTGTCTTCTTCTTCTTCTTCCTCACTAATTTCTCTGTTATGACCAGTTTCAGGGCTGTCTGTTCTGGTTTCCAGGGTAGGTTCTGTAATAGGGGTAGGTATGTTGTCAGGTTCAATTTCTGGTACAGTTTCAGGTCGTGTGAGACGGTTTCTGGGCTGTGTGAGGTGGTTTCTGGACTTTGTGAGGTGGTTTCTGGGCTGTCTGTTTGGTAGTGGGTTGAAACAGGTTGGTTTGAAGTGTCTAAAAGCTCCCATTCACTCCTGTTCTCCCCCTGAATGGGAGATTTCGGGTAGTAGGATTGGTGTTCATCAAAGGTTACATCTAGGGTAACAAAAAATTTCCTAAGCGTAGGAGAATAGCACTTGTATCCCTTTTGAGAGGTGGAGTAACCAAGAAAGATACATTTTATAGCTCTAGGTTCAAACTTGCTCCCGGTAGACATATGAACATAGGATACACACCCAAAGACTTTTGGTTGAATATGGGAGGTGAGGTTGGCATGTGGATATAAATTACTGAGTAGGCCCATGGGAGTTTGGAAATCCAGGATTTTGGATGGTACTCTATTGATAAGGTGGGTAGCAGTAAGTACTGCCTCTCCCCAAAAATGATTTGGGACATGGTGGGTTAGCATAATGGCACGAGTAATGTCAAGTAGGTGTCTATTTTTGCGTTCTGCAGTACCGTTTTGCTGTGGGGTATTGACACAACTAGTTTGATGAAGAATCCCATGGTCTTTCAGGTAAGATTGTAATGTGTTACTCACATATTCCCTCCCATTATCACTCCTCAAGGTTCGGATCTGGGTTTGAAATTGTGTGGACACCATTTTGTGAAATGAAATGAATGTAGATGCAAGATCTGATTTTTCTTTCATAAGGTATACCCAGGTAACCCTTGTATGATCATCTATGAAGGTTACAAACCACTTGGCATTTGTCATGGAAGTTATACGAGCTGGCCCCCAAATATCACTATGGATCAAGTTAAAGGGTTGAGATAGCTTGTGAGGATTACTTTTATAGGATGCTCTTGTGTGTTTGGCTAATTGACAAATTTCACAAGTCAAATGAAAGGAGCTTTTATTGAATTGAGGAAAAAGTTTGAACATATAATTGAAATTGGGATGGCCTAACCTATAATGCCACAACAATAGGTCTTTATTAGACAGAACACTAGTGAAAGCAGAAATGATCTTTGTGCTGGATAGAGCATAGTTCTTCTGTTTGGTGGTTTCCAAGCAATAGAGACCTTCTAGGATCTTAGCTGTGCCAATCGTCTCCTTCCACTCCAGATCCTGAAAAACACAAACAGTAGCAGAAAAATACACATTACATTTCTGGCTTTCAGTTATAGTTCGAACAGAGAGGAGACTACAATTTAAATCAGGAGCATAGAAAACATTATACAGGATCAATTTTTCATTTATGTATGCTGTCCCAAAACCCATTTCTTTGACAGGTTTCCCATCAGCCATACTGATGTGAATATTCAATGTACAAGGTCTTATATCAGTCAACAGGCTGCATTACCAGTCATGTGGTCTGTTGCTCCTGAATCTACAATCCATAAGTCCTGACGATGCACATCAGTTTTTAAGGCTAGGATTGTTTTACCTGTGTGAGCAATGTATCCTGATGATATAGACTTCCCTTTAAATTCGTGTTTCTCCAGTATTCTCTTGAGTAGTTCAACTTCCTCTCTATTCAATTCAGTTGCTAATTCAGGAGTACTTTCAACAGTTCCAGTGTAACCTTTGTTCTCCTGCTTCCCTCCTCTTTTAGGTTTACCGTGCAGTTTCCAGCATACCTCTCGTGTATGGCCTTTCTTTTTGCAATGATCACACCACCTTCCTGATTTAGGTTTGTCCTCTTCTTTGGAGGTGTCACGTGAGAAGAGAGCATTAGGTTGAGATTCTGCCAGGTTTATGCCTTCATTTATGGTGAGTTTCTTTCTGGATTCTTCACTCCTTACCATGAAGAATACTTCTCTCAAGGGGGGCAGATTTTCCAGACTCATAATTCTGCCTCTTACATCCTCGAATGCTGCATCCAGACATAAGAGGAACTTAAAAATCCTCTTTTCTTCTTTTATTTTTTCATATAGGGCAGCATCCCCTGAACACTTCCACTCATAGGTGTCATACATGTCAAGCTGTTGCCACTTAACAAACAAGTTAGTGTAATACTGGGTTACAGAAAGATTACCCTTCTTAAAATTGTGAAGAAAACTTTCAAGTTCCAGAATTGCAGATTTGTTTTTGAGGGAAGTGAACATATCTTTTGCTGCTTCCCACACCTCCTGAGCCATTTGGAAGGAAAAATGACAACTAATTTCTGTAGTCATTGAATTGATTAGCCATGCCTGAACCATGGAGTTTTTGGCTTCCCATGCTACATATTTCTGGTCTGTTACTTCTGGTTTCTTTATGGAATCCGTGAGATAGCCAAATTTGCCCTTTCCCATTATAAACAAGCGTACACTTGCAGCCCACTGGATGTAGTTTTGTCCATTGAGTCTATGAATAGTAATAGACACAGGGCTTGCTTCTGTCGCAGGTTGAGTTGCTGAGGGTGCCGAGGTTGCTGCTAACCCTAGAGGATTAGTCATTGACTGCTGCATTTCATCAGCTTCTTGTATTGAGCCGAAAATGACCATGGCTCTGATACCATGTGGGTTTGTGAATAATAATTCTTATTGATCTCATCAGAATGGTACAGCGGAATAAATAGGAAAAACCTGAATACATGAGAGGGTAGAGAGAGAAGAATCTAGAGAGATCCTAGCCGAAATAGTAGGAGAATCAGAAATCAAAATTCAAAATATACTAAATCCCTAAATAAGCTCTCTAATTGCGGCAGACTAGATAACTAGATTAACTAGGTCTAAACCTAGGGTTAAGTCTAGGGTTTTGGGCCCAAAGCCCATTAGAGTTCGGCGCTAACACCAACCCATGTGCTTCTAACTATAATTGTCACTCTTGACCGGAACTTGCATCAGTTTAACATCAAGAATGCATTCTTCAATGACAATTTAAATAAGAAAGTTTACGTAAGTTAACTCCAAGGTTGAAAAATCTCGATGACAACCTACTGTGCAAATTGCAAACATCTCAAAGTGAGTTAAAGCAATTGACAAAAACACAGTTTGAAATATTAACTGATTAACTAAGGCTATTAAATACTTGGTAGTCCTAAAATAGTTTATAATATTAAAAGTGGCATGGCTTGGCAAGGAGATTTGTATATCCCCAAGAAGATATACCCCAAGATTATCAACAGAAATTAGTATGTGCAGTAGTCAGTGAGCTAATACTCTGATGGCTCATCTACCAAAATTGTGGGGAGAGAAAATTGCGTCCAAGTTGACAAAGGGACTCTTGGGGCTTGGCAAAGAAATATAAGTTTGACATGTCAGTTTATGAATAGTCCAACTAAATAACAGCAAAAAGTAGCCAATTGATTACTTTGACAGTGGAATTTAGAGGTATTTGAGCACGTCTATTGTCTCATATTACTTCCATGATAAAAGTCAGGTAAAGTAAGAATGGATTGAGCCCCCGGAAATTTACAATTTCTTTCCTTTTCCATGTTTTGTGCAACAAGAGCATACAGGAGCGTACAAGAGAAAGTCAGGCAGAAAAGAGAATGTTTTAGGGCTATAAATTTGTGCAATAGTGAGGAAAACTGGGAAAAGTACCGTGGTTAAAAAAGAGATGAAGAGAGCATATGAGGAGTTTTATAAGGAGTTAGAAACAAAGGCGGAGGAAAGAAATATTTACAAGATTGCGAAGTAAAAGGAGAGGAAAAAGAAAGATTTGGACCAAGTGAGGTATATAAAGGATGAAGAAGGTAAAGTTCTAGTTACTAGGAAAGATATTAAGGATAGATGGGAGGCTTACTTTTACAAGCTGTTCAATGAGGAAAGCAAATGTGTGACTCGAAACATGGAGGATTTGCTAATTAGCAAAGATGATGGAATTTAGCTTTTTACCACAAGATCCGCATTGGACAGGTTAAGGCAGCTCTTAAAAAAATGGATAATTGTAATGCCGTTGGACCTGATGGTATTCCTATTGAACTTTGGAAATGTTTAGGCGAGGAGGAGAAAGATGGTTGATCAAGCTTTTTAATAAAATTTTCCACTCCAAGAATATGCCAGGTGAATGAAAGAAAAGCACTTTAGTTCCTATTTACAAAAATAAAGGAGACATTCAAAATTATGCAAGCTATAGAAGGATAAAACTTATAAGCCATACAATGAAATTGTGGGAAAAAGTGGTTGAATATAAGTTAAGGTTGAAGACTTCTATTTCGGAGAATCAATTTGGATTTATGCCAGGAAGATCCACAACAGAAGCAATTTATTTATTAAGGGGGTTAATGGAAAGATATAAGAGTAAAGGAAAGGATTTACATATGGTTTTTATCGGTTTGGAAAAAGCTTATGATCATGTGTCAAGAGAAGTACTTTGGAAGGCTTTTGGGTTGGGAAAAAAAAAAAAGTGTACAGGTTGCTTATATCAAAGCCATACAAGATATGTATGAGAAGGTAACTACTAATGTAACAACGCTGGAAGGTGAGACAAAAAACTTTCCCATCAAGATTAGCCGACATCAGGGATCTTCTTTAAGTCCTTACTTCTTTAACATTACTCTAGACGTTCTAACTGAGCTTATTTAAGAAAAAATCCCTAAACACATGTTTTTCACAGATGACGTAGTCCTTATGGCTGAATCAAAAGAAGAGATTAATTGTCAATTGGAGTTATGGCGAATGACCTTGGAGTCGAAAGGTTTTCGCTTAAGCAAGAGCAAGATGGAATATATGCATTCTAATTTTGGAGAGAAAAAAGGCAATGGTGATTTGGAGGTAAAGATGGGAGATCAAATCATTTCTCAAGTGTCAAAATTCAAATATCTAGGATCCATTATACATGAGGATGGTGAAATTGATGGCAACGTATCGCATAGAACACAAGCTAGTTGGTTAAAATGGAGGAAGACTACTAGAGTTATTTGTGATAAGAAGGTACCTGAGAAGCTTAAAGGAAAATTTTACCGAACTGCTATAAGACCAGCTATGTTGTATGGTAGTAAATGTTGGGCATTAAAAGGAAAACAAGAGCATAAATTAGGATAGCAAAAATGAGAATGTTGAGATGAATATGTGGCCATACAAGAAAAGATAAGGTTCGATATGAAATTATCTAAGCAAAAGTAGGTATGGCGCCGATCGAAAAGAAAATGGTTGAACATTGCCTGAAGTGGTTCAAGCATGTGCAAAGGACATTGGAGACCCCAGTGAGAAGGGTAGATCAGATAGTTTGGAGTCCTATAAAAAAAGACAAAGGAAGGCCAAGAAGAACGCGCAACGAGATCATTAAATGGGACCTCCTGGTCAACAACATACCTAAGAACTTGATTGTTGATAGAGCACATTAGCGTCGTACGATTCATGTAGCCCACCCCACCTAATGAGATAGGGTTTGTTGTTGTTGTTGTTTCATTTTCTACGTTTTATTTTATAAAGACTTTTTGCCCTTTTTTGGCTGTCATTAAAGTCAACTAGATATATGATATTCATTTTTATCTTTGCAGCATTGTTCTCTCCCAAGATTGAAGGTCAAAATTCCTCCATTATGCTTACTATATATTTCATACTCTGTATCGTCTTCAATTAGCAATAATCAAATTGCACTATCAGTCCAGGTTCTCTCCCTCCCCCCTCTTCACTCTTTGAAAAATGGTACAAAATGCCTTCAAGAACCATTTTAGAGGGTGGTAAATATTATACGGATACCTTCTTAACAGCATTAGGACACTCAAGCCATATATTTGGAACTAAACTGCCACTATAAAGCCAACTGATAGCCATGCCATAAATTCATAAATACAAATGGTTTCATGTATACATAAAATAAGGAAGAAAAAGGCCTTACTCCTCCAGATCTCCAGTGAAAGAAGCAAAACCGTTGTGAGTATATATCATAGAAGACAGGGAATGGAACTGGAAACCATCAATCTTATACTCAACAATCCACCTGTTCAAAACATAATTTCATTAGCATATACCAGCACTGCCTGTCAAATGATAGTGGGAAAAGAAAAAGAAAGAACCACTATTATGTCTAGCAAAAATCTTGTAATTCAATAGTTCAATCCCATATAGAAGGAATAACTCGGAGACAGTAGCAGCTGAAGTATTTTCTAGGCACATACCAATTCAAGTTTGAGAGAAGGAAATGCAGAACATCAGGGTCCCCATAATTAAACATTCTGGTGCCCCAATATTTGTGTTGTCCTCGTTTACCTATTAAACAAATGAATTTGGGATCATAGCCAGCATTGTAAAAGTTTTATCTAAGAGTATTGACCACTCACCAGCCAATTCCCTTGCATGATTATTTTTATTATGAACGTCACAGCTTTCCAGTGGAAGATATAACAAACAACAGCATAGAGCATGTATAGTTGTATACACAGAAACATGTCACTTCATGAATTTTTGAGTCATTAAAATAGTCATACTTCAGAAAAGCATCCACAAGATTATTTAGTAAGAGCAATTTTATCTTTGCCTCATTGGAAATCTAAGAAATACCATTAGACGCTAAAAAATTTGTAAATTCCAGGCTTTGTGATAATGGCTAAAGGAAGTTCCTTAGCGTTTAGAGGTAAAGGCATTTTTTTTCCACTAAACTAATTTTTAAGGAGCACTGAATATCTAACTCAAAACTTAACATCCCAGCAGCATAAAACAACTTCCAATTTGTAGATTTGCGGTTAAAATTAGTTATGTATTGTCATGTGTTGTCAAGCAATAGATGTTATATGTTGATGAGTTATCCATGTGTGTTGTGCTGTAATAAATGTATCAGTATTAATTTGTGGATTTAAAATATTATTCAGATGTATTATGGGAGACTCGCCTGGTCAATTTGTTGGTTTATAAATGTAAGATTCTGACTCATACCTTCATCCCAGAACTTATCACCATTTTAGAGTAGCCATTTGTAGCTTTGTCTTAGAAGATAGATACGATGTTCAGCATGCTGAAAATAACTACTTTTGATGAATTAAACAAAGGATAACACATTATGATCGTTTCTGACCAAAATCAGTGTAATACTCGACTGCATGACTTAGACGAGGGAGGAATCCAATCACACAACTCAGAAGTGTTATTAAGCTAGAGAGAATACACCAGCATTAACAGATACCAGTATGAAAATAGCAGTCATTCGACCCATCAAAAAGTGACAATCCAACCATTTCATCAGCAGCTGCATAGGAATGGACAATTTCTAAGAAGACAAGCAGTCCCAGCCCTGAGAAGACCACCAAAAAAAAAAAAAAGGTAAGCAAAATGGACTTTCGCACAAGACAATGAAAGAGACAAAAATCATAACTGAAAATAAATGAGTACATAAATATCATTTTATACAAAGAAGAAAAAATTGAAATTGTGCATTGAAGCCAGTTTAATTCCTAGTATATTTGTGTTCAAGTCGCCATTAATACCATCAATTATCAAATCCATACATTACAGCAATTTACATCACCATTTTATTGCACTTCTCCAAGTTATCATCTTTTTATTAGGCATGTAATATTAAATCAAGAAACCCTTTGCAAGTACAGAGCATTTCAATTAGCTACAGTGACTCAATAAAGTAGTTCATGATCACTCCAAATTTTCTCATTGAAACAAAAAGGGGGCAAACTCATCACTATGAGGCGGAGAATGCTAACCATGGGCTTCATCAACTAATTGCTTGAAATCTTCAGGAGTGCCATAGCGACTACTAACAGCAAAAAAATTGGTAACCTGCACTCACAAGGAAATTTTACAGTGAACTTCAAATAATATACATTATTAGAGTCTCAACATGGAAATAAATATGCCAATGAACATCAAAGTAGCATGGCTTTCTATTTAATAACATTCTTTACTGATGAAACTAACATAGAGATATCAATTGCAATTAGAAGGAACACATTTATACTTTTATCATAATTTATAAAATTACGCATGTATGAATCCAACACAATTCGTACCTATCAATTACTATAAGAAAGGTTGTTTTATGAATCATATGGCAATTCTCGTTGGCATTTACTTTCTCTGATGATCAATCCATGATATTGTCAGTAAAAGGAATGGGGAAAACCCTGAGGAAGAGCAATTTAAAGGATTTTTTTTCCCATGGAGCATCATAGATTCTTTGGTCTTCAGTGTGGCTTCTGGTTTACTGGCCTTCTGTATGAATAAGAAACAGTTCTTTCACAAATCTTGTCTGATCCAAGATCTCTAATCTTTATGAAACCTTTTCTCAGGCAATGCAAACTAAGAATCTACCATCAGAGCCTTCAATTGCTCCTAATACCGCCTTAGTCATGGCTAGGTGGATGGTCATGGCCCACCCATCATGGTGGTTCTAAGCAAGGGGAAAGCATTATGCATATGATCTATATACCTCTTAAGGATCAACTACAGATATTCCCACATGCTGGCTTTCAAGATAGTTTTGAGGATTGTATTGGTAAGTTGGACATGATAAGTGTGGTGGGCCTATAACCCACAAGTCCCAGGATCGGAACCTGGCTCTAATGCCATGTAGAGCCAAGATTGTTAGAATCGAAGAATTGATTGCAACAGATTTCCTAGCCGTTAGAATCTTATCACTAATTATATGCTCTTTCCTTATTTGTAGACCTAGAATCATGGGTATTAAATATAGATTGATTACCCATTATTACCCATTATTATTTCCATTTAATATGATCAGATTTCATGCCCTCTGTAAGAAATCTGATCCCTATTTATGTAATATAGCAATCAGTGGAATAAGATACAGAAATATTCAGTTCTTTCCGATATGGTATCAGAGCTTTCGGAAAGAGAAAATGAACAGTGATGAGTTCCCACCACTCCTCTCTGGACGTCGACCGAACCAGGCACAGAAAGGGCCAAATTCGATCGCCCTAATGGCCGGATCATCTCCAACCAGTGAGTCGACGTCGACCCACTCCAACCCAACGTCCACTGAGACGAACACGACCCTCCAGGGAGCAACCATGGCCCAGAACTCACCGCTGCAAATGAAAATCAACAAACCGTGATAGCGCACAAGCTCAATGGAAGTAACTACCTCCAGTGGTCACAAAGTGTCCTAATGTACCTCCGTGGAAGACGCAAAGAGAAGTATATCAATGGTCAGGCACCACAACCAGCCTCGGATGATCCAAAATTTGATACTTGGTTTGCCGAGAACAATCAAGTGATGACCTGGCTGTGCAATTCCATGACACTGGAAATCAGTGAAGGCTACCTATTAGCGCAGACAGCCCAGGAAATATGGAATGCAGCCAAACGAACCTATTCTTCTATGGACAACACTGCAGCACTGTTTCAACTAAAGAAACAACTTAGAGAACTCAAACAAGGTACTTTAACGGTAACCCAATACTATAGCTCTCTTATGAGAATATGGCAACAATTAGATTTGTTTGAAGTTCACTCATGGAAATGTTTAGATGATACTCAGTATTACAAAAAGCTAGTTGAAACAGAAAGAACCTATGAGTTCTTGTTAGGACTCAATGACACATTTGAAGAAGTAAGGGGCAGAATCATGGGTCTTAAGCCCATACCCTCACTTTTCGAAGCCTTTAATATGGTGAAATGTGAGGAAAGCAGAAAACAACTCACTCAAACTCCAGTGACCCAAAATGAAGCTTCTGCAATGGCTATCAAAAGTGGAAACACCACAGACCAGAAACGAAAAGGTGACAAATGGTGTGAACACTGTAACAAAAGAGGTCACACCAAGGAGATTTGCTGGAAGCTGCATGGGAAACCTTCCAATCTGAACAGCAGACAAAGAAATGAAAGAAGAAGCTACCATACAGAGAAGAAGGAGGAAGAGGAAGAGAAATTAAGTCTAGAAGAGGTTCAGCTATTGAGGCGAATTCTGGAAAAACAGACCAGTACTCCAAATGTTAACCTAGTAAAATCAGGTAACTCTATAATTGCCCTAAATGCTATGGTGACTAGTGATGATGTATGGATTGTTGATTCTGGGGCCTCAGATCACATGACTGGTAACAAATCTCTGTTTAGCAATATTAAACTCTGTCATGAAAACTTGAAAGTAAAAGTAGCAAATGGAATTAGTGCTAAAGTGTGTGGATTAGGAACTGTTGAATTAACTGACTACTTGACCATACATAATGTGTTATATGTGCCAGAGCTCACTTGCAATCTCATTTCTGTAAGCAAACTGACCAAAGGTCAGATTTGTCATGTCCTATTTGATGACAGTGGCTGTATTTTTCAGGATTTAGCCTCGGGGAGGATGATTGGCAAGGCTAAAGAGTGGGATGGACTTTACTACTTCCACAAGAACAATAAGGAAACACACCAAGCTATGGTTAGCCACAACACACAAAATAGAGATATTTTACTGTGGCATCATAGGTTAGGCCACCCTAGCTTTGATTATATGAAGCACTTGTTTCCACATCTCTTTAATAAAGAAAGCTCTATTTCTCTTACCTGTGATATTTGTCAATTTGCCAAACAAACCAGAACCACCTACTCAAAACAACCATACAGACCCACTGCCCCCTTCACACTTATTCATAGTGACATATGGGGTCCAGCTAAGACAAGGACCCTCTCTAATGCTCGCTGGTTTGTTACTTTTATTGATGATCACACACGAATGACTTGGATCTTTTTATTAAAGGAAAAATCTGAGGTTTTCGAAACATTCAAAAAAAATTTTATGTTTGTGAAAAATCAATTTCAAACCACAATCAAAGTTCTTAGAAGTGATAATGCAAAAGAATATTTAAGCAAGGCCTTCAAAGAGTTTCTCGAACAACAAGGAATACATCACCAAACATCATGTGTCTATACCCCACAGCAAAATGGAGTGGCTGAAAGGAAAAATAGGCATATCTTAGAGGTAACCCGTGCTATTATGTTAGAAAAAAATGTCCCCAATCTGTTTTGGGGAGATGCAATATTAACATCAGCTTATCTCATAAATAGAGTACCCTCCAAAGTCATAGACTTTAAAACACCAGTACAAAAATTACTTGAACATCACCCAAATTCTCCTCTAATAAATCAGTTACCTCCTAAAATTTTTGGGTGTGTTGTGTTTGTGTACAGAAATGAAGGCAAACTCAACTCTAGGGCCGAAAAATGCATTTTCCTAGGCTACTCTCCAACCCAAAAGGGATATAAATGCTACTCTCCCTCTACCAAAACGGTCCACATCACAAAGAATGTTGTGTTTTATGAAGATGATGCTTATTACCCTAAATTACCCATTCAGGGGGAGAACTATGGAGCTGCAGAATGGCTAATCCAAGAACCAGTGACACCCAACAGAACTGAAGAGACACCAAACAGACCTGAAACAATATCAGCAACACCAAACAGACCTGAAGAGACACCAAACAGACCTGAAGAGACAACAAACAGACCTGAAATACCGACAACCAGACTTGAAACAACACTAGAAGAAATACCAAACAGAATTGAAACAATATCTGATACAGTAGAAGCACCTCAAGACAGTAATGAAACTTCACAAAACTCAAACCACAACTACAACGAAGATGAACATACTCTTGAGAATCAAGAATTAAATAACAGCAATTACTCTAATGGAGAATTAGAAGAAAACTCTCCCACTACAAGGCATGACCATGACTCCAATCCAAGGTTAGATCTTGAAGAAATGGGATGGCCAATCGCCCTAAGAAAGGGAGTCAGATCCTGCACCCAACATCCCATCCAAAGGTTTGTTTCTTATGGTAATTTGTCAACCAGAATGCAAAACTTTATTGCTAACAGTGCGCAGGTAAAGACACCAGAAACTTTCCAGCAAGCTATGGCTAGCCAGGGATGGAGAAAAGCTGTGGAAGAAGAACTGAGAGCCCTTAATGAAAACCGGACGTGGGATATCACCACATTACCACCAGGAAAGAAGGTAGTGGGATGCAAGTGGGTGTTCACTCCAAAGTACAACCCTGACGGAAGCCTGAACAAATATAAGGCCAGGCTAGTAGCAAAAGGGTACACCCAGACCTATGGAATAGACTATCAAGAAACCTTTGCTCCAGTAGCCAAATTCAACTCTATCAAAATCCTACTCTCGGTGGCTGCCAATCTGGACTGGCCTCTACATCAACTAGACATGAAGAATGCCTTCCTAAATGGAGACTTGGAGGAGGAAGTGTTTATGGAGATACCAGAAGGGGTACAAAGACCTGAAAATGCTACTAAAGTGTGCAAACTCAGAAAAGCTCTATATGGGCTAAAACAATCCCCAAGGGCTTGGTTTGACAGATTTGCAAAGGCGTTGAGAAGGATTGGATACTCACAAGGCCAAGCTGATCACACCCTATTCGTAAGACACAGAAATAAAGGGGTCACCATCCTTATTGTCTACGTGGATGACATTGTGATCACAGGGAACGATGAAGAGTCAATAGGATCCCTAAAGAAGGCTCTTGCAAATGAATTCCAAGTAAAAGACCTTGGGCAAATGAGATACTTCCTAGGCATGGAAGTGGCTAGAACTAAGAAAGGAATTAATGTATCCCAACGGAAATATACACTGGACCTTCTCTACGAAACAGGAATGCTTGGAGCTGCACCAAGTGACACCCCGATGGAAACCTCGTGCAATTTAGAAGTCAAGTTAAATGCTACTCCAGTTGACTCTGAAAAATACAGGAGACTAGTAGGGAAACTAATCTACTTGACCCATACACGTCCGGACATAAGTTATGCAGTAGGAGTAGTTAGTCAATTCATGCACCAACCCCAAGAAGAACACATGGATGCAGTTCTCAGAATTCTAAGCTACCTAAAACTCAATCCAGGAAAGGGTATCTTCTTTGAAAAGAACAGGAAGAGAAACATAGAAGTTTACACAGATGCTGACCATGGAAGATCCCTAGAGAATAGGAGGTCCACTACAGGATATTGTACCTATGTGTGGGGCAACTTGGTAACATGGAGAAGCAAGAAACAGCATGTGGTGTCAAGAAGCAGTGCTGAGTCAGAGTTGAGAGCTGTAGCCCTTGGTGTATGTGAAGGGATATGGATCACTAGACTCTTAAAGGAACTGAAAATCACCTATGAAGGACCATTACATTTATGGTGTGACAACAAGGCGAGTATAGAAATGACCAAGAATCCCGTCTATCATGATAGAACCAAACATGTGGAAATTGACAGACACTTCATTAAAGAGAAAGTAGAAGAGGGCATCATAAATTTGTCTTACATCAGGTCATCAAGCCAAATTGCTGATATAATGACAAAACCCCTAGCTAGAGTCCAGTTTGAAAATCTTCGAAGCAAGCTGGGGATGCTAGATATTTACTCTCCAGCTTGAGGGGGAGTGTTAGAATCGAAGAATTGATTGCAACAGATTTCCTAGCCGTTAGAATCTTATCACTAATTATATGCTCTTTCCTTATTTGTAGACCTAGAATCATGGGTATTAAATATAGATTGATTACCCATTATTACCCATTATTATTTCCATTTAATATGATCAGATTTCATGCCCTCTGTAAGAAATCTGATCCCTATTTATGTAATATAGCAATCAGTGGAATAAGATACAGAAATATTCAGTTCTTTCCGATAAAGATCAAATTCAATAGTCCGATGATTTTATTCAGTGTATACTGTACAATATATAGAGCATGGAGTGTATCAGGGAGATTACAAGAGGACTTGGGAAGATTACAAGGAATAATGAAGAGAGATATTAGGAGTAATTTAAATCTCATCTCATCCCTTAAGATCTGCCTATTAATTTAGAAATTATATCCATTTACATATCAACCACAATGATCCAACTTGAGGTGGAGTGATGCAACACACACTCACACACTTGAATAGATGCAAACTAAAATGATTTTAAGGGGAAGAGATGAAAATCAAAGATGGGGAAGGGAAAGAATGACAGAAACAAGGAGAGAAAGGGAGAGAGGATCAGAAACTGAAGGGGGGGGGGGGGAGATAACATAGCTCCATATTATTTCATTCATTGAAAGTCTACTTTTTACATATGAGAGCTTAGCTATTTATAGAACGAGCTATCCTTCTCGTGAAGAAAGCTTCTTCCTTCCCTATGAAGAAACTTGGGTACAACTTGCAACAAAATATCTTAACACTTGCATAAAAGATAATATAAATAAATTAAAGCTTTCTTCTATGATAAGCTATCCCTAAAATATTTTAATTCCTATATTCTGTCATATCTTCCTTAAATATTTGTTCCCATGTTTTCTATCAATTCCCCCTGCCTTCAAAAAACTCTCCTTTGGCGAGATAGAAAGCTTGTGAGCTTCTAGCAGGGAAGGATCTAAACATTGAAACTCATCTTCTGGGATCCAAGTAGCATCCAAATCAGAACGACCTTTCCAATAAACTAAGTAACGACAAAAGGGCCCATCTTGAGTGCTTCTGTCTCTCCCTCCCTTCAATTTCTATCCACTCTCCTTCCCCTCTAGCTATTTCTCCCTTCTGTTTCTCTCTGTTTCTCTCTCCATTCTTCTTATTTTCTGCAACTCTCTCCCCCCATAATCTCTCTCTGCTCCTATATCATCTCCCAAAATCATCACTGTTTCGTTAATCCGTGAGTGTGTGTGTGTGTGTGTTGCGTCATGGAGAGTATTAGCAGGATCATATCTATTATTTAATGGAGATATTAGTGCAATATTCCAAATAGTGTGATTGACTAAGTTCTGACTAATAAAGAATTCCCTCCCATGTTTTCTGTCACTTGGTTATCACACGAGTATATAAATGCATATTAAAATTATACTGTGTAACTCAAATCATCTCCATCAAGAGAAATATATTGTTTTACATTGGGGAAAAGAAAAAGAAAATGTTATAGGAGGAAAAATGTAGTAATGAATTACAAGAATATTTAACTTACTCTATAGCCCACAGTGAAATAATCCTTGTGCTCAATAACTCCAAATAACTGAATTGCATTGTATCCAGCTTCCTTTATGTGAGGAAGAACCTTCATTGAACATAAACAAATGTAAATAATGATTCAAATTTCTATGCAAATCAGCAATGAATGGAGAATGCAAAAAGAAAGAGGGGGGAAAACCTGCTTTGTGAATTCATTGAAAGACGATATCTTTGGCTCAGATCCACTAATTCCAACATGACACTCATATATCCGCAAGGAAGTTGGGACACTGGGACATGTGTTTTTCCACTTGTATGCATGTTCTGGGGTTGGTTCCCAATGGATTGCAAAAGCTTGCCTTCCCTCAGCATCTGCTTAAAATTAACAAGATTTGGATCACGCACAAGATTGATATAAGGATGGGGCGAAAAAGATAATTGAACTCCATATCCTAGTAGAAATGAAATCCTAAAAAGTAAATAGGACTGATTGAGCTAAGTGTTCTGTTTTAGATCTCTGTGGCTGTATTGTGTTGAGTTTGAGTTTAAGACTCCATTTTTATGAGCTAATTTTCTGTGTAATTCAGATTGGTTGGTGTATCAAGTACTTTGATTATCAATGTATGTGGCTTTTTAACATTGCACTTGATACTGTTCCTTGGCATCCATTGAAGCATCTTAATTAAGCTCATGCATTGATGTGTGTGTTAAGTGTGAAGTGCATTTCGGTGAGTGTTTGGCATGTTCATGTAAGCATTCTTCAAGTAGCATTCATTGAAGGAAAAACGCATCTAACCTATCCTAATTACACAATTGTAGTTTAGGTGAATTCTAGCACTTAATTACCCTCATTCTTATTCACGTTCTTTGGGAAATTGGATGTTCAATATTAAGTTTCCTTGGCAGTAACTTCAAGCGTATCTATTGATCGCTCAATTTCCAGATGAAGAAGGATAGGAATTAGAGATTAGTTGGTCAACCTGGCTTATGTAATGAGTGAAACCCAAGCCTAGCATGTAAAACCCAATCTCAAGAGAACCACCATTTCATTGCATTGATTTCATCTCAATTTACCCTTTTTATCCCAAAAATCCAAAAACAATTTATTTCTTAGGATGGAGATATTTTAGTTAAAATGAATTTCAAGAGAATAAGGACCATGTACATGCCCATACCACTTACGCCTGGTTTTCAATATAGCATTTAATTTATTTCATTTATTACTTGTATAATTATTTTTTATATTTTTATCAGATTAGGTGGCTGCTCTAATACCACAGTTGTGGTAAATTCAGAGGGGAAAATAAAATAGAAGAGAGAAAGAGGAAATAGAGAGAGGAGAGCAGAGAGGGAGGAAAACAGAGGAGAGAACCGAATATACTAGTGGTATTGAAATGTAAACATAAGCCTGAATACAATGGACCTCTGGGCCTCTTATTTATAGTACTCTCGAAAACTACTAACGGCTATAATACATAACAGACATATTAACTAATTGACTTATAACTAACCTTTAAATATTTATAATTTACATAACAGTATCCACGGACAAGCACACTGAGCATCATTCTTCAATCATGGGGACCAAAATCTTCAAAATTCAAGATGCATTTTGGTTGCAGATTCTCAAGATTTACCAGCAGGGCAAAGACTAATACGTCAAAGGCACACTTCTGAAATTCAAATTAACAATTGAACACAACAATAATACACATGCATGGTACCTTTATTAGTTCAAAATTAAATAAGCTAGATCTTTTAGATAGAAATAACCACAACATATAGTGTGATGCCTCATATAGCTCCAAAATAGTTTATATTAGTGGAAGAATAACTGATTTCCCAAATTCCAGATAACATTACCTGGTTCCACATATGTAGCCCAAGCAGGTACTCGCTCTAATGGCCCATTAGGAGTGTTAAAGAAAACTCGATACTTGCTTCCATGGGGAATGCCAGGAATATATTTTTTCAGCCATGCTTTCCTGCCTTTACGGGTCTCAAACCAGTATGGTATAGGAGGCTTCTTTGCTAGAATTTTTTCTGGCCATTCAGGATCCACTATCACATTAAAAATGTCATACTCTTTGCCACTATCAATCACATCATAAGGGGTAGGTTCATTGTGGGCTGTCCATGCCTTGTATCTAGTCTCTGCATCTGGTATGTCTTCCAGCTCCTCCTCAGTCTGAGGTCCATTAGGACCAAATATTTGCTCATATAACTTAGCTGGCACTTCTAAACGGTTTTTTAAGTAACGATCTTCCCCTGGCTCCCAGTATTCATCATTTGCTTTCTTGAAGATTTCTTCAATAGTGACACCACTGTCGCCTTTGTCATAATCATCCACATAATTATACTGTTGAAAATAGAGTTTGTCTGGCTCTTCACCCTCCCTTAACTTATCTTCAAGAATGATAAACCAGTATCCATAATCATCTCGCCCAAAGTGACCTTCTCTTGCACAATTTTCAGTAGGTGACAACCCATTGAAGTCACCAATAAGTGCACAATAGCGAGCACCTATATTTCACACGGTTATATTAACACAAGGAAAACAGTCTACTCCCGTAGAAAACTTCACAAGAGAACAATATTATTATTATGGAATCTCTTTCCAATAGCAACATATCAAGACCGTTAGGAAGAACTTAGCTGGGCTTTGACAAATGCGAGGTGAGAGATACAGAGAAAAGTATGGTTAAACAGAAAACTCCTGAACCTAATTATGCTTCTTAAAAAGCCAAGAAAAGTGGAAGAGAAAAACATTCATTTGCATCTCGATCACAATAATACGGCAATATATATAAGGAGCTCATACATAACTCAAGACGGATTGGGGGGAAAAAAAGCTGAAAATTTAATAGTCAGGAGTGTGACATGCCCAAGATGGTCAAAAGAAATTTATTCCCGAGCCAAAATGACCAAAAAAAAAAAAAGTAGTCTGCTGGAATAATAACAAACCTGGAGCCCATTCCATATAATCCACCCGATGTTCTGGATGACGATGCATACCCAGTATCTCAAAGCTGGAAAAAATTAAAAAGAAGCAAGTGCAACTCAGAGATGCCCAAATTGCAGTAATCCTTGGGAATCTTTGCAAAGTAAAATTGAGTAACGGAAACCAATAATTTAAAAGTATAACGTTAACATGAAATTAGGACATGAGATTTGAATAAAGAATGAGCCCAACACACTCAGACGCCACAAAAACAAGTATAAATATATATATTAAACTAAAAACACGAGTTTCACTGTAACCTTAAAAAGGCACGAATTTCAACTTGTATCACAGAGAACTAACCCAGAGGACATCTCCTTGAGGTTCATGTGGCGGTTCAAAATTTCATCTTTCAGGTCCTTCAGTGATTTATATCTGCAAAATACAAAACAGTGCATAACCATTCCTTGTACAATATCATCCAATTTACTTCGAAACAAACGTTTCCAATAAGCTTATTCCCCGCGCTGCTACGTTGCATCTTTGCCGAAAAACAAAGAAAATGAAAGTTGCAAGTTACTTTATTCCCCCAGTAGCAATCTTCCGACGCGTCTTCAGAGGCGTTCAACTCAAGGCACTCAGCAAATTCACACGACAATACCTTTAGACTTCCTTTTCATGAATAATGTCATTAATCGCTTCACAAAACGGGGAAAAACCACCATAGATTTCCATTTCTGATCTCGTCCCTATAGTCGTCAGATGTGACTGTTACCTTTCACGAAGGAACTGGCCAAATGCTTTATGGGTAATGCCGCGTTTGGTGAGAAACCCAACTGGGTCAATTCCCTTCTCGCCATCGTCGATGCTTTCCTTCTTCTTCGTCGGATTTTGTTGCTTCTGCCGTTTCTGGGATTGCTCTGAGGCTGAACAAACTACGTTTATTTTTCTGGGAAAAGTGATAGTTTGAGACTTGGATTGGAATTGAAATTGGAGAAAGGAAGTGCTGGGATGTAGCGAAAATTTAACTGGAATGGGAAGCGTCGCCATTGGGAACAGCACAAGCGACAAGTGAAAGCGGGAGTCTGAGATAAGAACCGCGGGCCGAGTTCTCAAACGGTTGTGTTTTTGGGGAGGTTTATGAGTCGACTCGATTCCGTTTTTCATACAGTCAAGCTTCCTTAGGCGTTTGGTTTGTCACCAAGCTTGGCATCAATATGCTTAGGGAAAATGACATTGAGGTCCCATGAAGAAGAAAATACATCAAATAGGTCTTATGAAATCTCATAATTATTTTGAAGTCCCAAAAGGATTTAGATGCAATTTTTAGAATCTACAAATTACTCTTTTGCCCTGCCCCTGCCATCAGAAAAAAAGATGAGAGAAGTTCTTTGGGTGAGGATTTTCCGCACAAAATTATCATGGTGAAGCTTTTGTAAATGTGAGGATTTCCATGGGTGAAGAAGATGTTGAAACCTTTGTAAATACGAGGAATATGACAAATCTTCAGGTGTGAAACTTTCTTTTCTCTCCTCTCCTACTTTTCTTGACAGATTGTGCATTTGTTTGGGAATAGGAAATCAAAAAATAGTTTTTGCCTCTGGTATTTCAAAGCTTTTGTTTTTTGTTTAGGATTCAGAAGTTAATGAATGGAAAAGCTGTGTTTTTTATTGGTGTGTGTTCTGATTTAAGTTGAGTGTGTAGAATGATCATGGGTGCTCTGTTTTTGGGTGGTTTTCCTCTGTTCTGACATTAGTTTAGTGGCAAAGAAAGAAAAAGATGAAGGTTAGTGAGGGTAGAAACCCTTAGCACGAAATGGGATTATGTTGTCAATCAGGCTGCGATTGTTGTCAATGTGTGCCACGACACTTGTCAATGTAGCTCCTTAAGTTGTCAATGATAGTTGCGTGCTTCTTGATGCAGGTTTAAGTTACTGATGGCGAGTACGTCTGGAAAACATCTATTTTGCTTTGTTCACATGGGGGGAAAGTTTATAAATGATGGAGAAGATGATACGAGATATGTGGGAGGTAGTGTAAAAACAACCAATGTAAAGGAGGGCACAAGTTATGAAGAATTGAAGAAAATTATATTATCAATTGCTGGAAAAGAAAGCAACTCATTTCTTCTAAAATTCTCAGTTGTGTGAAGGGAATTTTTTGTAAATGGATACACACCAATAGTTAGTTTTGTAATTATATGCAACCCCTGTGTTTTTTTTGGGATGGATTGTGAAATAAGTGTAGTTTTATGTATATGAAGGTACAAATAAAAGTTGGCTATGAATTGGCATATTAGATTCTGCTATCATTTCAGTTGTCATTATCTGCACCCTGTATTGTCATTAGAGCTGTTATGACTTGTCAATAGAGCACTGTGACTTGTCAATTAATTTGCTTATATAAGTTATCAACAATATGAATTCAAATTACTTAACCTGTTTTAGTATCATATGATATTTTCAATTACTTTATCATATTATATTTTGGTTATATTGTCATATATAATCATTATTAATGAAGTGTCAATGGTGACACTATGACTTATCAATGGTCGCACTGTAACTTGTCAATGGTAGTACTATGACTTGTCAATAGTGGCACTATGACTTATCAATAGTGGCACACTGACTTGTCAATGGTAGCATTGTGACTTGTTGTTCGCCGAATAACTTCTTAAAACGGTTGGGTGCCGCGACGCCTTGTACAGAATGACAACTACTTGGGTTAGATCACTTAACAAATATAACAAATGAGTTAGATCACTTATAAATAGTTTCATAACTTACCAAATTTGAACTAAAATTGTTTCATGTTTTATTATTATATCAAATGAGCTACATTTTTTCTATTTTCTTCTGATCAATATAATCAACTATTAATTTCAAGTATTTTGTAATTAATAGGACAAATTTTTGGTAGTTCTTAAAACATGTCAATTAAGGACATGCTTGAGGCTAAAAATAAACGAAGAGCATGTTTAGAATCACGTTTGTAAGTACTTAGAAACACTTATAAGCATATTTTACGTAAATCGAGAAAAAATTCCTCCTATACTTGCATCATATTTTGTAATCATGACTAATAAGATATTTATAAGCCATTCTAAACAAGCACTAACATATATGAAAGGAAAATAACTCAATATTAATTTCATTGTTGAAAGTCCTGCATTTGACTTAGTCCCTTTACATGAGTTTCGTTTGTTTTCTTCGTGTAATGTAGAGAAGTATTTACTGCTTTCTTGTTTGTCTAAAAAGAACTTAATTGTTAATAAGAGTAATAAGGACTTTCAACATTTTAAAGGTGTGTTTGGATTAGCGGTAGTAAAAGTAACTTTTATCTCATCTGACTTTTGCAAACATAAGATAGGGGAAAGTCAGCTACGTCATTATAATTTATGTTTGAATTAACTTTTATAAAAGTTAACTTGATAAATTGAACTTGTTTGAATGAATAATAGAAAAGTAAGATTAGATATGAAATAAATGAAAAGGGCTTGAGTTTTATAATATACTACCTCTAGTCCTTAATATAAGACTTAGATGATTAATTTGAAAAGATTAATAGAGTTAAATAAATTACTTTAAAGTATTCATATTTGTCATTTTTCCTCTAAACTAATTTGCCTAGTTAACTTATAAATTGATATATAATTTAATGATACAAAAAAATATTTTAGAAAAATCATATAATATATAACATAATTAAGTAATTTATTTAACTTCATTGGGTTTTATATTAAAAACTAGAGGTAGTATATCATATGTACATAATTAATAATTTATTAAATTTAAGAAAACCTCATTTGGTCCCTTTTCACGTAACAATTGGCTTTTTTTCTCTCTCCACAATACTAAAAAGTTCTTTGTCCGAACGCGCCAAAATTCAACTCCACTCCAATGCTAATGCAGGATTTACATTGGGTGGTCATCAGTTTTGATGAGCACCCAATGCTCATTAGATCTGGACCATCCAGATCTGATCTAGACGGTTCAGATTTAATTTTATTTTTATTTTTATTTTTTTAAATTAATTATTTTAATAGGTATAGGATAAAAAATAAAGATAATCTCTTAACTATCATTCTTTAAAAATATAATTTTTTATATTTTTAAATAATTATTTAAAAATATTAAATCTGGACCATCCAAATTAGATCTGGACAACCCAGATTGCTCATTAGGTGATGAGCACCTGGTGCTCATCACCTGATGAGCATTGAATGCGGACGCTACCAATGCATAGCAAAACCAAAAAGCTCATTTGTGAAAACGCCATGCTAGACGAGTTGAAAATATGTCTACTAAACTTTTCACTAAAAAAGCTATGAACTTTTCAATAGGGCTCTAAACACACCTTGGGTAAAGTGGTTAAGGGTGTGTGGATTAGCGAAAGCAAAATTAATTTTTATTCCATCTAATTTTTACAAATTTAAATTAGGATAGAAGTCAATTAGTGTGATGTAATATATGTTTAAATTAATTTTTATTAAAAAAAAGTTAGTTTGACAAATTGAAAGTTATTTGGATGATTAATAAAAAGAAAATTTTAAATGTAAAATGACTAAAATAGATATAAATTTTTTTAAATAATACATATTTATATTATATATATTGTGATAATTCTAAGAGAAATATTAAAATTAAATTTATGAAAATAAAAATAGTTAAGACATTAGAGAGAAAATTTGAAAATATTAAAATACTTAAATTTTATGAAAAATTTAATACTTAAAATGACCTGAATGAGAGCACTAATAGGCACTATATGTATAAAAATTTATCAAGTTCTTTTTACTGATTAAATTTCTAATAAATATTTCTTTCCTAATTTTTTCTAAATCTTATTATTTAAATTTTCCCCCCTTTAGATACTTTTATGCATATCAAATTATTAGGTTTGTTGGAGTAATTTTATATTTTCCCATGGTTCTCTCTCTCTCTCTCTCTGCGTTCTAACCGCAAAAGCCGCTCTCATTAGTTTTTTCCTTGAATGAGTTTTTTTTCCCCTGAAAGTCAATTTGAGAAAAAGTTAATCCAAACAATTATTCAAACCCACATCAGTCAGCAATGCACGTTTCCCCTGTTTCAATGCATGTTCTCCCCTCCAAACACTATGCCAAACCCGTGCTAAGAGTTCAAATTTCACCCTTATACATAGTGTATAACAAAGTCCTTTTATTTTGCTACCACAGGCGAGCACAACTCGGTATGTCCCCATTATCTTCACTGCACTTGTATTGCCTAAACCTACCAATGTCGGCGACCCACCTTCCTGAAAAGCCTGCTCCAGTGCTTTGAACAAGCCACACGGTAAGAATGTCAAATGTAGCAACCACGATTTTTGCCCATGCTTTGTAATTTTTGCTTAGGTATCTGGCTTTTAGTATTCCAGTGTTGATAGATGGCAATTTTTGGCTTTATTATAGAAATTATTCTTTTGGGTTCCTTATAATGATGTTTCGATTCCTTATATATATATCAAGGATAACATTCAGTTTATTGAGTTAGTATGTTATATGGGTAGAAGAAGCTGGATATCCTAAAGCTATCATAAAATTTGTGAAACATCGATAATTTAGAAGTAAGAAGTAAGCTGTTACAAGTTATTGTATATCATATTTTGAAGATAAAAATACATGGTATATTGAAAGTAAAGTGGAACATAGTTGTCCTTTTTATTTTGCAAAAGATATTATTAGATTTTATTACAAAAGAAAATATGAAATAAAAATATGAAAAAAAGTCAAGCCTAAACTTCTCTATCTAGTATGAACATCGTAATTGGTTGAGATAGTGACAAGCAGTTGGAAACTTATAATGTGATGACAGTATTTATTTTCCTTTTTACAGTTGAACAAAATGGTTAAAAAGAGTAAGAGCAAAGATGAACAAAGGCATAGGAACTTCTCGGAATACATACTATTTACTGAGGAATTTTATGAGAAGAATAAGAAAAAGTTCAAGTGTTTTGAAGAGGACAGTAACTCTGTGAAAAAGGCTTGGGGGAGTTAACAAAAGAGGAGAGAGAACAATATAATGAAAGGGTTAAAGAAATGAGAGTCCCACCAAAAGGGAAGAATTATATTGTTCCCTTCCACACACGGTGTGCTCCAAGACAATTTATGGAAGTTTGCAAGCAC